ACATGTGTGTGACAGAGCACATGTGTGTGACAGAGCACATGTGTGTGACAGAGCACATGTGTGTGACAGAGCACATGTGTGTGACAGAGCACATGTGTGTGACAGCCGTACCTTACAGGCCACTCTGTGAGGACACAACTTCCCAAACCCCAGAGGAGGCTGAATCCTCCTGAGCAGAGCCACGACGTCCAGGTGTTTGATTCGTCCTCTGATGGAAGAGAAGACGATACGATCAATGATAAAAAAACAATAATTCGATTAAACACAGCAAAGTGTCGGCTGAGACACAACGTCCACCTGAACCTTCACGTTGGAACAAAACCTGCTGGAAACCACTGAAGCAACCAACAGACATGAAGAGGTTCCTGAGGACACACTGAAAATAGTTGTCTCTCTCTCTTCGTCATTAAAACTATTGGAAGATCGTCTGATCCTGATCAGTTCCTCCACTGAGCTTTAATCTCAACATCTGATGCGGATTCTTAAAACCTGGGGGAGGTTATGTTTGTGTGCGTTTGTTTGTTTGGTTGCAAGGTTACACAAAACCATGGAGGGGAAGAGCTCGTTAAATGTTGGTGTGGATCCGGATCAGAAATTATAATCTGAGGTTTCATATGGTGACATAAGCGTGTGTCTTACTTGGCCTCTGGGTCGTACTCAGACCAGATCCTCTTAAACTCGTCCAGATGATGAGGTCCCAGGATCGACCAATCACGTGTCAGATAGTCAAAATTGTCCATGATGACAGCAACAAAAAGGTTGATAATCTAAACGAGAGGAAAAACAGTCACAGTTTAAATATATAAACTAGTTATTATATACGTATATACATGTATATATAAAGGTGCAGTATCTGACCAGGAAAGCACAGAGCATGAAGAAGCTGATGAAGTAAACAATGGCGAAGTTGCTGCCACAGCTGAATTCTTCTCCTGGTTCGTAGTCGGACTCTGGATCACAACGTTTTCCTGGAAGACTCGCCAACATGATCTCCTGCCACGCCTCACCTGTCGCACACCTGGACACACACACACACACACACACACACACGTACAACAACGTCAGGAAGAGGATGAAGAAGAGGAGGAGGATGAAGATGGTCATGATGATGTAGATGATAATGAAGATGAGGAGGATCTGACCTGAAGAGAGGGATGAACATGATGAAGATGATGAACATGATGAAGAGTGGATTAAGAGTAGGAGGCGGATCGTGGAGATGATGAAGAGGAGGATCTGACCTGAAGAGGAGGAGAACAGCCTGAGGAAATGTCTGGAAGTTGTTGTTCCTGTTGATCTGAGTGTGATCCTGCATCGCGACCTTTCCAAACGTCTGAAGGAGGAAAAGACGAGGATGTCACATGATGACATCATCAGACTGTCGCTGACATCACTGATGACTCAGTCAGAGTTAGAACTCACCTGCATGCCAATGACAGCGTAGATGAAGAAGATCATGGCGATGAGCAGAGCGACATATGGCAGCGCCTGAACAGAGGAGGAGGAGGTTAGACGCTGTGATGACGCTGAGCCCTGGAGCAAGGCAGCGACCATACGACCCTCTCTGTTAGCCCCGCCCCCTGACCTGCAGTGATTTGATGAACGTCCAGAGCAGCGTACGAATCCCTTCCCCTTTACTCAGCAGCTTGACCAATCGCATGACTCGAAACAGCCTGAAGAACGTGATGGACACACGAGAGCTGTCCTCTCCACTCTGAGAGCCAATCAGACGAGAGTTCAGTCAGGACGACACCCACATGTGATCAAGTTAATTAAGACAAAAAAACAGGGAAATAAAAAATACGCAGGCTCAATTTCTTCTCATCATTTATCACAAATAAATAAACTTGAATTCATTTACAATTTTATATTATTTCACCTACAGTTGTTCTTCACAGAAACAGCAGAGGGCAGCACACATGTTACATTTAC